CTTGACTAATCAACAGGTTACTAACTGCAATACTAACTATAAGAATACAAATAACAACTTATGTAATTGTAGGAATCCGAATAATTGTCCACTACAAAATAACTGTGGGATTACTTCTGTAGTCTATCTTGGTACTATTTCAACAATTGAAAATCCAAATATAAAAAGTTTTACATTGGTTCTACTATGAAAACATTCAAGGAACGCTGGCGGGGGCATATGCAATCCTTTAATCACAGTGAATATAGGTACATGACTTCATTATCCAAGTATTTTTGGAATCTAAAAGATAAGAACAAAACACCTACGATTAAATGGAGTTTGGTTACGAAAGCTCGTACTTGTAACTCCCTATATACCCCATGTTACCTATGCCTTAATGAAAAATTTGAAATTATTAGATTTAAAAACAAGGCTGATCTCTTAAATCAAAGATATGAACTGACAGTAAATTGTAAACACCGTTATAAATTTAACTTAGTGTAGGGGTCGTATACTTTAAATGATAATGATATGTCGCTGTATTTTTAATAGATTAGTATTTTTTATTGCATAATGGTCATACTTACGATATAAGTGTGTATTGTTTACCTGCATAGTGTTATCAGTGTTGGTGTAAATATATATATATTTATTTATGTGTTGGTTAGAGTATTTGCACTGAGGAATGTGTAGGTTGGTGTATAAATGTATTTATGGTTTTTTTTTTTTTTTTTTACATGTGAGGGTGTATGTGTGGGTATGTATGTATGTATATATATGTGAGTGTGTGTGTATATATGTATATATATATTATGTGGGAAAGTAAGGTAGATTATGAGAGAAAAGGTTAATAATTATTACTGTATATGTGTATGTGTGTGCCTATATATGTATGTGTGTATGGGTGTGTGTATATATGTATGTATTTGTGTGGGTATGTGTATATATGTATGTATGTATGTAGAGATATATATATATATATGTTTATATATATATATATATATATATATATATATATATGTGTATGTGTGTATATGGTTGGATATATATATATATATATATATGTATATATGCATATATATATGTGTGTGTGTATATGTATGTATGTGTGTGTGTGTGTATGTGTATGAGTATGTACAGGTATGTATATGATTAAATCACGACAGTATAATGGTTAGCCAGCATGGTTCACTAGATTGGGTGCGACTGAGTAATGAGTTCGTTCCTCACGGGATGCCCCTTGTTTTCAGCTTTGTGCCACAATATATTTGTATATATATGTATGTGTATGTGTGTATGTATGTGTGTATATATATATGCGTGTGTGCATATATATATATGTGTATATATATCTGTATGTCCTATTTTATTGTGTATGTGTATTTATATTTAAGTATATTTCTGTTTGTATGAATGTGTTTATATATTTGTATGTTAGACTATATGTATATTGCTGTGTGTTGGTGTTTGAAGGTATATTTATGTATCTATATGTTAGTTCGTTTATATATGTATTTGGTTGAAAGTTATTTGTATTTTTTATGTATGCATGTATATATGGGTGGTTGTTATTGCAGGTAGTTATATTTATGGATATATATATATGTTTATTTGTAGATATGTATGTATGTGTGTATATATATTTATGTATGTTTGTGTATGTATATATATATAGGTGTGTGTGTTGGAACCTATTATGTATGAGTTTTTTGTGTGTATGTGTAGGTATGGAAACTTTGGTATATCATGACTGTTTTTTTTATATATCTAAGTATGTGTGCATAAAAGTCTATGTGTGTATATATGTGTGTATTTAGGTTTATATGTATATGTACGTACATATGTACTTGTTATCATAGATATGTATATGTACGTATATGTTTATGTTTATATATTTATTCGTGTGTATTTCTGTACGTATATGTATGTATGAATATATATATATATATATTTTTTTTTTTTTTTTTTTATGTGTGTTAATTTGTTTTGCTGCCGTGTATATATATATATATATATGTATATATTTTGTGGATTTCTTTATCCTGTTTTTTTTTGCCAAATATATAATGAAACTATTATCAACTTATATGATTAATAATATATATATATTTTTATTGATATTTATTGTTTTAGAGTTTTTCGTTTTAATATATTAAATAATATTATTTTAAACATTTTATCTTTATATATTTGCTCCCTTAAGTTATAATTCAATAAGTGGTTAGCATTTATTTAAGTCTGAATATTTACTGGTTGTGATTTCTCAATGTCTATGACATTGTGGATGTATGTTTGTGTACATATCGGTGTCTATGTGTATGTAGAGTGTATTCACATTTAACTGTGTGTGTGTATAAGTGTTAGTTTCCACGTCTCCTTTTTTCGTAAAGGGCTGTGGAGTTGTTCATGTATTCCCCCCACCTCTTCCTTTTTTTTTTTTTTTTTTTTAAGTGTGTGTGTATATTTGTGTGTGTGTGTGTGTGTGTGTATGTATCTAATTATGTCTGGATGCGTATGTATTATAACCTGATTGTGTTTTTGTTGTGTCACGCGTGAGTTTAAGACCATATTCACAAACTTTAAAATAAAAACGGAAAAGAAAAAAATATATACATGTATTATCAGATGACCGGACGAATTGTAGCTTTTTGTCTTGTCAGACGTAATTTCAATGAAGAAATGAATTGAATAAACATATATATTTTTTCTTTTCTCAATAATTTTGTAGTTTTTAAACTTAATAGTGATTAAATTTGGATTTTAAAAATTGCCAGTTTTTAATTTTAATATTAAATTTTATCATATAAATTTATAATTATTAGTTAGTAAAAATTATTTTTAATATTACACGTATTTAAAGATCTAAATAGCTATAATAGCAGGATTTTGTTGTCAAGCTTTTGAATCTTTCTGTACTTCGTTTTGATTGGTTATTCTAGCTTTTGTAACAATGCTCCCCCTAGTGTAGGATCGTTAATTCATCTGAAACTTTTAAAACCATTTATTTTCTTTTCAACACCATCACTTGATAAGACACAGAGTGTGTTGAAACAAAATGGCTATTTTTGTAGTGATTTTATAACATACTTATGTTATAAATTTTTTTATAAAAATAATTATATATATATATATATATATATATATATATATAGCGCTAATTTCTATCTCTCCACCATCTGTCTCACGAGAATAATTATGACTAAATAATTATGACTAAATAGTATGTTCGAGGCTCACTAGGTGATCCGTACTTTCGGCCTTGTACCATTCATAAATAATTATCTCCTTCTCGATCTTTCCGCCTTTCTTTCTCTTTCTATATATCTCTCTCATATATATATATATATATATATATATATATATATATATATATATATATATATATATATATATATATATATATATATGTATATATGTAGGATATATATATATATGTATGTATATATATATGTATGTATATATATATGTATATATATATATGTATATATATATATATATATATATATATATATATATGTATATATATATATATATATATATATATATATATATATATATATATATATATATATATATATATATATATATATATATATATATATATATATATATATATATATATATATATATATATATATATATATATATATATATATATATATATATATTCATGTATATATATATATATGTATATATACATATATATATATATATATATGTATATATACATATGTATATATACGAATATATATATATATTTTATATACAGCATATATATACATATATGTATATATATATATATATATATATATATATATATATATATATATATATATATACATATATACATATATGTATACACACACATATATATTTCTGGTGGACTTTTTCTCGACTATATATCAATTTTCTCGAATATTCAGGCCGGCGGTAGATGGAAATAAATACATATACTGTTTAATAAATAAATAAAAAAAGCATTTACTCAAACATGGGTATCCGTTTAAAATAACGTTTAATCAAATCAATTAAAAATATGTGAAATTTCATCCCTTCCTCATATATATATATATATATATATATATATATATATATATAGTTTTTAGAGTTTTTCTTTTTTTCTTTTACATATATATATATATATATATATATATATATATATATATATGAAAAATTTCAGAGCTAGAAAAAGACAATATTTATTAATGTAAAAGAAAATAGGAAAACTCTAATATTAGCCGACTAATGTTACAGTTTTCCTATTGTCTTTTACATTTATAAATATAATAATAATATTAATAATAATAATAATAATAATAATGGAATCTTCCGTCGGTTTCGACGTATGAGGATCTGACAGCTTAGTTGATTCAGTTATGAAATTTTGTGTGATAATCTTAAGTGGCATTTAAGGCCCGCTAGTGATTTACAAAGGAGGCCACATATGGAGCAAGAGTAAAATGAGATCACTCTTAGATTGTCTGACCTTTTAGTTCTTGCTCTCGCTTCTTGAAGATGATTCAGACAAGCAGATTGAAAACTGCTGAGTCCACTAAAACACGTTGATCTCCATTCTTCCCACTCCAAGGCTAAGCGCTCAAGGGTGTTATGTGGTATATTGCCAGCTGACACGTTGCTTTTCAGCTTGTCTTTGTATCTTAGCCATGGGCGTCATACATTCCTGTAGCCCTTCCGTAACTGGCTCTACATTAAGATCTTTGGTATCCTGTCATCAGATATTCTCAAGACATGTCCAGTCCACCGTAACTGAGACTGTATGAGAAAAGTCTCGATTCCTTCAATATTACACCTGTTAAACAGGTCTACGTTAGATGTCCTATCTTGAAGGTTAACTCCAAAGACTGCATGCAGACAGCTTTTATGGAAAACATCCACCTGGCGTATATGGAGTCCAACGTCTCTGAGCCGTACAAAAGGATGTCAAGTACCACAACTCTGTAATCCCGAATTTTTTTATCCAGTCGAATACCCGGCTCATTCCACAATATATATATATTTACAGCCATATCACGTTGACACACCGGTTCCAGTACGATAACCGTAGTTAAGCAACGTCAAGCCTGATCAGCACCTAGATGGTTGAACGCTTGAGAATACCAGGTGTTGTAGGATTTGATGCCCGCGTGGTGTAATGTTGTGCGGTGGTGTGACTGGAATCGTTAATCAGAGAGCCGATTTCCAATTTTCGATGTGGTCGTTATATTAACTTAGACGCAAATACTCTTTGAAATGGTATGAAAATCATCTATACTCCACCAGCTATGGGTTAAATAGCAACACTTATATCGCTAAAGTATTATTATCTCACGCCCGACAACCCAATAATATTAACATCTTAAATTATTTTCTAGCTTTAAATAATCTTGAAAGCGTTATAAAAAGAACTAATCAACTTCTCCATCTATCTATCTATCTATCTATCTATCTATATATATATATATATATATATATATATATATATATATATATATACACGTTATTTCATAGATACAAATATTTAAATAAAAGCTCTGTTTATAATGAACAGTATAAACATTTACCGGCCTGATTGCCTGTGAAATCACAAAACAAATATGCCCCCGACAGGAATCGAGACGCCGTATAGCCTGACGTGCTATACTATTTAGCTACAGAGAAAGCGTCTATTTCGTAAGGTTAAATTACTGTTTTTGAACTACAAACTTCCATGATTTCTCTCGAAAGCTCATATCTGCTCGAAGCGCATCTTAACGTAAACAAATGGACTAAGTCCGACAATTATGTTGATACATTTTCTGTTTATACGTTATTTTTATAGATACAAATATCTAAGTAAATTCTCTGTTATAATAAACAGTATTAACTACATTTACCGGCATGTAAATGTTGTTAACAATGCTTATTATAAACAGAGCATTTACTTAAAAATTTGTATCTATAAAGTAAAGTATAAACAGAATGTATATTAAAATAATCATCGGACTTAGTTCATTTAGGATATATATATATATATATATATATATATGTGTGTGTGTGTGTGTGTGTGTGTGTGTGTAAAGAGAGAGATTTTTTACTTACGGTATTTCAAGATATAAGAAACGCGCTTTTCAAAAAAATGTCTCAATATTTACCTTGTTTTTTATATGTTTTTTTAACTGCTCTCGTCAGTTAATGCTATTCAATAAGAACTAAAGGTCTGTCTATATTTCTGAGATGAGGTATTATGTACACTATTTACATTATTCGGACTATTGTACTCATCTTTGTCGTCATATTTATTACAACGTTTCGGCCTTTCAGTATCTGTCTATATTTCTGCGATGGTGGAGTACAGATGAGGTATTATGTACATTATTTACATTATTTGGACTATTGTCCTCATCTTTTGTCGCCATATTTATCACAACGTTTCGGCTTCAGGTAGTTGGAATGTCGAATCAGACCCATTATTTCGCTCACTGGGGTAGACTGTTCTAGTTCCACGTGCCATGGTTAATGGCATGTCAGTTATCAGTTATCTCCTGTTGATTTTGCCGTCTGAAATTTTTCCACTGCTTTAACCGGGTATTGAACTCACACTCTTCGGGTTATGTCACTGGATCTAACCAATGCTTTTATCCCCTGTGCCATGTGTCCTTGAGGACATGAATTTCTGGGTATTATAAACCTAATGTCTTCAGCAACCATTTTTACCAGAGCTCATATTGCAACTTTGTTGTTATTATTGCTTTTCTCTGGCACTCCTTATTACTGGTTCCCATATTGTCTTTATTTCTATGCTTGGTTGGCTCAGGAGATTTTTGTGGCCTAGCATATGTGCTGATTCCTTAGGTTTACGAATGACATAACCCAAAAAGTGTGAGTTTAATACCCGGCTAAGTGATAAATATGGCGATAAAGATGAGGACAATAGTCCGAATAATGTAAATAATGTCCATTACTAAAGGCTATAATATTATCCCAAACTTTCAATTCTTCAATGATATAATTTCCTGGATTTTCACTATTTACATGTGGACAATTGTTGTCATCGCTGTTTCTAATATCACCACAACATTTTGGCCACTGTACCGTCCGCTCTTCATCAGGTGTATTTTAACTGAACCCTTTATTTAATGTACGTTCTAGTTCAAATGACCTTTGTTTACGCATATCTCGTCTTGTGCTTATTTTTAGTACTGCTCTTGTTACTTGTTTCCAATGTGTCCAATTACAACACTGTCAAATCCAAGGATTACACTAACAATTACGATGCCACCCAAGTCACGTACTAACGATTTCAGCCACTATACTATTGGCCCATGAGAGAATTCTATGTGGAAAAACATATGTCTTAAACCTAACCAGCCTGTATTATTATTATTATTATTATTATTTCCTTTGGTTTCTGGTGTATACTCATTTCTTTCCGGGTCCCGACCAGAAACCTAAGGTTAGAAACGGCATCTTGACATTTTCCACTGTGCAGTTTTGAAAAAGAAATCTCAGATATTTTACATAGATAAAGCCCTTCGTAACGTGTGGGCATTACTTGTGAGTACATTTTTTTTGTATTTCTTTAAGGCATGGGCTACAAAGGATTCCTTCAACGAGTCTACTGGAATCTTTTCCAATCAATCCGAGTACTCCAATTACAACGGGAATTCTGTCACATTTTTGAGATTCCTCTTCTTCCTCTTCTTCTTCTTCTTCTTCTTCTTCTTATTATTATTATTATTACTATTATTATTATTATTATTATTTCTGTATGTTATATTTCCTGCTTTGTATTCTGTTGAGCCAGGCCCAAACTATGGTCCCTAGACCCTATAGGAGAATTGTCATTTACTTGATAGTACTTTTTTTAGTATATGGGATCATCCTAGTAGGGCAACATATATGTTGATATTATCTCGGGCATTTTTACTAAAATTGTCCATTCCTTTTCTCACGAGGCCCAGTGCTCCGATTACTATTGGTACAGTCTCAGTCTTCATTCCCCACATCCTGTTAATCTCGGTTCCTTGTATCTGAACAATTTCTCGATAATGTTCATGGAGGTGTTTCTCTCAGATGGTATTGCTATGTCAATAAGAATACACTTCCTGAATTTCGTTTTTTTAGGATAATATGAGATCTGTTGGCTTTTATTACCGTATCACTTTGAAGTGGGATGTTCCAGAGGATGGTTATATCATTATTTTGGGTTACTGCGTCTGGTTGGTGCTCATACCGTCTCTCAATGGTTTCGATTTTGTGCTTCTTGTATATCTTCAAGTGCACATTTGTAGCTATATATCTTTAGGTATGTTCATTTTTTTGCTAGTTCCGGACATCCTGAGATAATATAGTCGACAGTTTCATCATATTTTCCGCAGATCCTGTATTTCATGTTAGTTCCATCTTTGATTAGAGGACAGTGATAAGATCTGGCTGCAAGGTTTTGAGTATCTGCAATAAGGAGACCTACTGTCTCAGCTTTCAACGCGGTTCACGTCTGCTTCTTTCGTTCTTTTTAGATATTTGCAAATCCTTGTCCTCACAGATTTTTTTCTTTTTTTTTTTTTCTTTTTTTTTGTAATTTCATTTGGCCAAGTTGTTTTACTTTCTGCATTACTCGTTTGCCGTGGATGGTATTCGCTCCGTTTTTTGTTGGTACGATTTCAGGTATATTAAACTGTTTTTTGAAAAGTGCAGAGTCTTTGTTGATGGCGTGGAATTGATGCTTTACTATTTGTAAAAGATGGCCATTGGTTCTTGTCATGTATGCTTCAAATACGATTGTTGTAGTCTTTCGAGTTATTTCAAGTTGGACCAGATCTCGGCCTCCTAAAGGTCTTGGTACGTAAAGCCTATCACTATTTCGACTGACTCTTCGGGTTAGTTCCAAAATTGATTATATGTGTTATGGCGAACGATTTTTTTTCCTCCGTATGCGTTCGAATCCTAGTCACCAAGTGTGTTATGTCGAACGAAAGTTTTTCTTCCTCTGTATGAATTCGAATCCTCGTCGCCAAGTGTGTTATGGAGTGGTTTCACAGTGGAGGCTTGTATTTGTACTAAGTCGGTCCTAAAATAGGTTCGACGTACAAAACGTTAGGAACTTGATATAATAGGTAATGACGTAGAGTAAATCTAGTTGTGGTCGCTGATACTTTAGTATCCGACTAACGGTCGTCCGGCATCGACGATATTTAGTCACCTCCCCACAAGGGCATCATGTGGCACAAGGCCTAATTAACGTGGGATCTCCGAGTCCGTGGGCTCGGCCAAAAATATACTCTTTGAACTCGTATAAACGGGTTCAGGGTAGGTTTACCTCCCCGAACGAGACTCCGCCCCTCGGCGTAGCCTCCTTCGGGTTCCTCCCTGCCCGAAGGCAGAGAGTTCAACCGATCAGACGGTTGTCCGGCATCGACTAGTATTTAGTCACCCCCAACGAGAGTATCATGTGGCACAAGGCCGGTTTAACATGGGGTCTCTGAGCCCGTAAGCTCGGCCAAAAATATAACCTTTGAAACCGTAAACACGGTTCAGGGTCGGTTTACCTCCCCCGAACGAGACTCTGCCCTTCGGCATAGCCTCGTTCGGCTTCCTCCCCGCACGAAGGCAGAGAGTTCAACCGTTCAGCCTGTCGTCCGAAATCGAGTGACTGTCCGACTCCTACTACTACTACTTATTATAGGTGGGAGAGTCTATTAACAATAGAATAGGTGTGTTCCACTATAACAATATGACAGTGGTAGGATCTGGTTGCGAAGCTTTGGTCCTGTGCTGCAACAATTAGGCCTTCTCTCTCTGCTTTCAACCAGGTGCTCTTCAGCCACTGAGGTGTTTTCTGTTGGTCCACATCTACTTCTTTCGTTCTGTTTATGTATTTGCCATGTAACGCCTTGTCCTCCCACCTTTTCGTAATTTCATTTGGCCAAGTTTTTTTACTTGCTGTCTACACGTTTGGCGTATAGAGTATTCGCTTTGTTTTTGTTGGTATGATTTCATGTATATTAAGCTTTTTCTTGAATGAATTGGACCTGGTACCAACAATAACACCGACAAAAACAAACACCAGCTGATATATTTCGACACAGAATACAAACATTATGAAAAAGGATTTGTTGTTGACAGTTAATGGAGGAATACTGTACATCGAT